CATTTTTAACCTTTTTTAATACATGTTTTTTATTCAGGGTATTTTCACAGACTATAAGCAACCTTTTGCAGTGACATATCTTGGAGCTTCTTTGATGGTGATTTATCTCCCAGTAGCATTTATTAAGGATCGGATACATAATTTTCTGAAGAGACGCACTGGCAAAAGTGGTCAAGGCATGGAAGATGATTCGTGTTCTAGAATTGGCTCCCCGATAAAGTACATTGGGGGACAGGAAATCTTTGAGATGGAAATTCAGGGATCCCTAAATAGAAAAGATAGCGAAATTGACCTTTCTGTGCAGGGAGAAGAGGGAAGGCCATTAGTTTTTAAACACGGAGATGACACTAGAAATATTAGGCAAGAAAAAGAGGTCACAACCAAAGAAATTGCTACTTACGGATTTTATCTTGCCCCCCTTTGGTTTATTACAGAGGTAAATCCCATCATTGTATGCCCTTTAAATGTCTACACAAATTTAAAATATTTGGTTCAATGTTTGACTACTATTGCCGATTATACCTATACCTTGACCAATTTTAACTTTTATTTTGGCCAAATTTTGTTAGAAAGGAAGAAATCTCAGAATTGATTAACTCTTTAAATGTACCTTATGCAACCTTTAGATTATTTTTACCGTAGTTTCTTTCTGAAAATATATGAGTTTATTCATATACTTCTCTTTTGCAGTATTTATCAAATGCTGCACTTGCTCGTACAAGTGTTGCAAGTACTACAGTTTTGTCTTCTACGTCAGGGTTGTTCACTCTTTTTTTTGGTGCATTTTTGGGCCAAGATTCCTTAAATATGGCAAAGGTAGTTGCTGTTTTTGTTAGCATGACTGGGGTTGCAATGACAACCCTGGGAAAAACTTGGGCCAATGATGACTCACAACTAAATTCTTATTCGTAAGTCTTTACTTCATTTAATATACAGGTTCATATCCATATTATTATAACCATTCACACATTTTTATGTTTCTTCCTCAGTTTGCATTTTCAATTGCATGTTTCAGGGAATTGACTGACAGTTCAACTTTTTGTTTCTTTTAAAGAAGCGGAAAGCGCTCTCTTATGGGGGATATTTTTGGCCTTCTTTCGGCTATGACTTATGGGCTATTTACAGGTGTGTCATTCATTAGCTGATGAATTAAATATAATTAAGATCAACATGGAAAATTCAGATGACAACTATTTCTTTTTTCAAATTTTTGTAGTACTTCTTAAAAAGTTTTCTGGAGAGGAAGGAGAGAGGATTGATGTGCAGAAGTTGTTTGGATATGTTGGATTATTTACACTGGTGGCACTTTGGTGGCTTGGTAATATTTTCGTTCTCTTTCTTTGCCTCCATCGAAACACGATTTCTTATGTATCCTTTGGGTTTATTTTTGTCTTGTTCATTCTCCTCACTTGTCATTTATTTGTCTTCTCTCATCCGTCAATATTTCATATTTAGTTATTTGCTCGAATTCCAATGTTATTTGATTATTGCCATTGACAGCGGGTATCTACAATTCCTAACTGTGCTTAAATGGATAATATTGTTATTCCTTGGAGTTATCATGTATTCTTTGAATTTGTTTTTGTGATGTTCATTCCATACAGTTGTTACATATTTATCTTCTCTCATCAATAACAATTAATTATTTACTTATATCCCAATATTGTTTCAGTATGGCCATTGACAGCCTTGGGTATAGAGCCCAAATTTACAATTCCTCATTCTGCTAAAATGGATGAAGTCGTTATTGCCAATGGACTAATAGGAAGTGTTCTCTCTGATTACTTTTGGTATGTGAACCACTTATTCTCACAGGAAACTTTCTTCCGTCAATATTTTTCGTTGTAATAATAGCTGACACTTTTCTCCTTAGGGCCTTGTGTGTTGTTTGGACTACGCCACTTGTGGCCACCTTGGGCATGTCTCTTACCATTCCACTTGCTATGGTAGCTGACATGGTGATTCATGGACGTCACTATTCTGCCATATATATTCTTGGTTCAGCTCAGGTAATGATGTTCTTGGAAGGAATGGCCGAGTGAATGAAAACATGTCAACAATATGTGAAAATATCAATATTCTGCACGAAGCTTTATTGCATGCGTTGATATATAGTATTGAACACAAACTATACACTATAATGGAGAAAACTCTAGCTTTATTTTATTTCCTTATTAATTTTAGCCATTTTTTAATCCTTCCTACCAACACGTAGTTCTACATCATAAATATTTTGATACATTCTGTTTCATAGGACTTCAATGCTTGTTGTGTCATACTAAAACTTTTGATTGTCGGATGTTTTTTTATCTGACCTTCTTCTTTTTGTTTAAAATGGCACTACAGGTATTTTTGGGGTTTGTGATAGCTAATCTATCCGATTGGTTCAAGAAAAAATTGGGCTTATAGCATTCGGCTAAAATGTTCGAGCTCAATCTAGAGGTAATACTGTTTGGCGTGCAACATTTCCGTCTAATACAAGACCAATGAACTGATGGTGGATTCTTTGTGTTGGCGATTGTTTACCTTTTGCTTCCAATAGAAACTAGGTGCATTATGATTGTTTGTTCCCTGAATATAATAGAGTGCATTAGGAATTTCTTTTCTAGAAAATATTTTAGTTATACAAAACAAAATGGAAAAAAATGAGTGCATTATGATGGTTTAGTGATGGCAAAAAAAGAAAAAAAAAAAATGCGCCCCGCCCTGATGGGTTGGTTTGGCTGGGCGGGGCATCTCCGTCCCGCCCCGTGAAGAATTAAAAAAAAAAAAAAAATTATTTTGGACATTGTTTGTTTCGAGTGCTTGGTTGAGGAAAAAAAAGGGGCAGGCTCGGGCCCCACCCCGCTGCCATCTCTATGATGGTTTGTTTCATTAATATAATCCCACTTGTCTTCGTTTTAACTCATTTCTCAACATCTACATGTCGTTTGAACTCGTTTCACAATTTTGAGAACGTTAAATTCTTTGATCTTTCATGGACCTGGGAAAGTTTGTCCGAAGGTTTCCATGTTTTTTGTTTTGATTCATTTTAGTGTTGCTTCAAATAGAGACTTCATTGGATACGAGTACAGACTTGTCTAACTGTTAATAGCATATGTAGGTACTTTATTCTTCAATTAAACACACATATTTGATAGTCTCCATTTTAGTTCCACTGTGCCAGGTGCTTAAGAATGTAAACTTCCTATTTTCTATGAAATGAAAAGGTTGTCACTGGCCTTTCTACTATCATTTTGCTCGACTGTTGGGGGTACGCTTGATTCAATAGAATTTATCATGACAAGCTAAAAAAATTTATTATCAATAATGGCCCTGGCTCAAGCAGCTCTCTATCAATATTTTGTTTTATCCCGCCATTGAATTGTTCCTAAATTCTACCTTTTTGAATTGTTACACATTAAATTAATTTTATTTTTATTTTGGCAAAATTATTATAGAAATAAGGAAATTTCAAAACTCATTCTCACTATAACTTTAACTTATGCAATCTTTAGATGTATTTCTATTGTATTTTCTTTCTGAAAATATATAAGCTATTAATATACTGTTGGTATTTTGTAACAGATTTAAAACAAAAACTTCAATAGAAAGTAACAACGTCAAGATCTTTTTTTGTACTAAAACTCGGATATTCAGTTAAAAGGTTTACTTATCATGTTATTGGCCATTATCTTTGTACGCTTAGCTCGGGTTTAAAAAAGCTCGGTCTGAAAAAGTTCGAGCGAAGCCCGAGCTTTTTTTTTTGGCTCGGCTCTGCTCGTAGACATGACTAAATTTATCCAATCATTGGGCCAAAGGTTGAGCCTAAGTGTGAAAGGCCCAAAAATGTTAAGCACATCAGACCAACAATCGTCACCTTGCTTGACACCTTTTGATCATACCCAAACAGATTTAGATATTAACTATGTTTGCTTCATTCGCTCTTAAGTATCTGTAAAAACTTTTAACTAGTATTAACATTTACGAGATTTAAACAATCTCTAAATCTATGCAAAGATAATATTTAGTTCCTATGTTTGTACTATATCACTAATTTGGTGGGTGGAATCTCAGTTACCACTCAGGTCACTCAACCTGTATGAGAACATATTCCATGGTGAATTACCAGAAAGCATTGCCAATTCGCCTAATTTATATAAGTTAAGCATTGCCACTCCGAACTGATAACTTACCCCCCAAATCTTGGAAAAAATCGCCTTTACGATGGATTGATGTTTCAACGAATGGGTTTTCAAGCAAAATGTGTGAGAATTTGTGTTCAAATGGTGTTTTTGAAGAGATTTTAATGATTAAAAATTCAATTTCTGATCAAATTTCGACGACTCTAGTAAAGTGCCATAGTTTATTACGTCTAAGATTCTGGCACAACAGACTTTCCGACAAAGTTCCTTTTGGTTTTTGGGTTCTTCCTCACGATGGGGGTGGCGTGGGGTGGAGAAGAAGAAGATGGAATGAATTTTTAATTTTAATTATTTGATTTTGGTTATTTTATTATTAAAAAATGTAAAATTACCATTTTAACCTTTTAAAATCAGTCAACATTATTGTCAAATTCAATAATTTGATCAACTAACGGTCAAACTAACAGAAACCATCCATGGATTTCAACTGCGGATATTTTGAAAGGTTTGGTACCGTTGGTGGCAAAAATTAAAGATTTGGTAACGTGGGTGGTACAAATGANATCTAAAATATTATTTTGTATAGTAAACAATTTCCACCACATATTTACCCAATAAAATATTATACACATAAACCAATAAAGTTACTTTAAATTTCAACCACACATTCTCCAAAAAATACTATTCATTACTCAATTTTCCTCCCATAATGGTAGACAAACAGGCTATTAATTTTAACTACTTATTAGTAAATAGTAAAATTAATCTTTTATTAGCCAAAATAATATTCACCATTGCTCGACTCCTTCACGAACGAGCAAATAATTTGGATTTAACAGTTCTCGTTATTCTTCGTCTCGCTCTTCCCAAATTTCGATGGGAGCTGTAACCCGCAATCACGCACTGATCTTTCTCTCACTAATATTCCTTCTCTTACCTGCGGCACTCGCGATCTCTCCCGAGTACTATTTCTTCATCTAATAAACTGATATTTTTACTCATTTATCTCAATTTTTCATTTCTTCGATGTATTATTTTCCTAAGAGTTTTATTCATTGATTTTCTTGTATTAAAATATTTATTTTAAGTTAATCGTTCCTTTTTTTTTTTTTACGGTAAATTAAAAATATGTTTTCCATTTTGATTTTTACAGGAACGTTGAGGGATATAGCATCAATGGACGAGTCAAATTTCCTGGTATGGTTTCTTTTTATTGCTTAAAGTAATGGGTTTTGGTTTTTATTTTCTTATATTGTTTAAGGAGTTTTGGATGTTGGCCTCTGATAACTGTTCTGGAAAATTTTGATTATTATTGGAGAAATTGAATTATCATAAAGTGTAAGATAACTAAAATTTAAGTTGTAATTCGCAGCTTAATTGTGTAATCGATTCAGAAAATTTTGGGTATATGCGAAATCTGAACTTTCTGTAATCATATAAAAAATGGAAAAAAAAAAAAAAAAGAATGGATGGATGGATGGATGCAACAACAGTATTGAGTGTGACGTAAAGCAATGCAATTCAATGTTTCATTTGCAGTTTGGTGTTCTTTTGTGATAATCTAGGTGTCTGATTCAGAATGATCACTTTTTTTTGGCTCTTTGATTTTGCATCTGTCGAATATACACAATTAGAAAAGGTGTGGTTCACGTCGACAGGAAAGTGACCTTGATTGACATGCTGAATCATAGATTTTGTTGCGTGTATTCAGAAAATGGTGAAGATGTGGTGTAGGATGCAAATTGAAAACTATTAAATTGCTTGGGGAAGTTAAATGTTTCTTTGCCATTAGAAATTGCAGCTGATAAATTAAAACTGAATTATGGTTGACAATAATCTTCTTATTAACATGAAGTTCTATATGAAAAGGTTTAAGTTGTACGATACATTATTTATTCTGATGAATTTTAAGAATTTTTCGGTACAACTGGCTGAACTTCTGTGATAGGTCAACTGCTAAATAGAACATTGATCTTGTTTATATACAGAGGTATTATAGTTTCAGTTTCTCCACATTATTATTTTTTTATTATTTTTGCCTTATTGTGTCAAAAACCTCTTGAAAAAATTTATGAGTGCTGGAATCAAGAGATGACACCATAGTGGTTGTAAAATTTGGTTTAATTTAAAGAATATGCGAGGAATTTAATAATATAATTGAACTGTTATTACTCCTAGGGAAGAAAAATAAATCAATCAACATTCAATAAAGAATATTCTGAAGTTTAGGGTCCAAAATGAACAGTTTGAATGGATTAGAATATTGCAAGTCTGCAATTGGTACCATAACAATAAATTAATATGGACTGAGGTGTCTATGTAAGTAATCTCGACCATGACTGAAATTTTTTTGGGGTTTGATTTTTAAGGTTTTTTAGCATACCCTACGCTTTCTTGCAAGTCAGGCACACCTACAAATTAAAGTAATTGTATTTTAATGATTGAAAATTTCAAATAAAGTGGACTTAACGATGTTAATTTTAGATGGGCTTAAATTTCTAGATAAGATGGTACAAGAGAAAAGACTGAATTCAAGTGTCAATGACATATATCATGCTTTGATTAAAATATGAGAATGATATTCGTCATCACAGCCAATGATAGCTTGCCGTAGCTCCCATGTTGCCCAATAAATAAAAATGCATCTCAACTTCGTTGGATTATATGGTAGTGCCCCATGATCGCACAGACTGGTTATCATCCATACTTATGATGAGTAGCATTATTCTCAAAATATATCTAGACGGTGTTGCATGTTGAAAATCAACTACAAATAAATATATAGTTTAAGTTTTTAGAGGATATGAAATGCTAACACTATAAATGGGAAGAAAAAGAGCATTGGAAACATGTTTTGTTGTGCTTAAAAAAGATTCAAAACTGCAATTATGGAACTTCTGTGATGGACTAACTGCTAAATAGAACATTGATCATGTATTTGAACAGTCCACAGAGGTATCATAATTTCAGTTCTCCACTGTTTTTTTTTTTCCTTTTTGTATCAAAAACCTCTTAAGAAATGACACCATAATGGTATTATAATTTAGAACTGCTGGAATCAAGTGATGACACCATAATGGTAGTAAAAATTGGTTTAATTGAACTGAATAATATGCAAGGAACTTAATAATATCATTAAACGGTTATTACACCCTCTATTTTCTGAATTGTGGGAGTAAACTAATTGGTTGGTTTAATGTTAACATGCTATATTCCAGTCAAAATGATAAGTATAAGTTTGAAAATAAAACATTGATGTGTCACTTGTGTAAGTCCTGACCATGTGAAAATCTTAATAGTTTACAAGTGGGAAATGTGATATGCAGTTTCTAGTTTTCTACTTCAATTTGAGGTTGAATTTATTTATTCCATTCAAAAAGAAAATTGACACCAACCACTTTCCATGAGGGTGCTCATGCGAGATGAATTCTAAATCTTTAGGAGCTAAAATGAAAGGCTAGATTACTCTCTTGCCTCTTCAACAATAACGTCCATTTTTCATGACATGTTTTTGCACAAATTTATGAAGGAAATTATTTTAAGCAATGGTGTGCCGTTATATATTTCTTGTTGCTTGAAAGATTTATGACATTCTCATACATTTTATTTCATCGTGCTATTCTGATTTTCTCCATAATGTTGTGTTCTACTAGGTAGCATAACAGGACCTGGTCTTCTACCGAAAATATCAAATGTCAAAGTTATTCTTAATGGTGGCCAACGAGTTACTTTTTCAAGGCATGACGGATATTTTTCTTTGTATCCTATCATCTCCGTCTCTCTGCACTGAGTTAATCTAGTACCTTTGCCTTTGACACTGCATATTTTATTAAGTTTTGTACTTATGTTTGATATTGGGACGACATTGCATTCTTGTCAGTTTGTTATGGGAAACTGGACTCAGCACCGTATATTTTAAACGTTGTGAGTGGGAACTGGAAATGTTATTACATTTATGATGGCATGCTAGACATTAACACGCATTCATTTCTTTAACTATTATTCGCCAAGCCATAATGTGCCAGCAGGGACTCATCTTATTGAAGCGGCTGCTATAGGTTATATCTTCTCTCCAGTGAGCTTCTTAACTCTTGGATTCTTCTTGTACTTAATCAATTCATTAACTTGATATGACTCATAAATCTCTTCTTGCTGCCAGGTCCGGGTTGATGTCAGCGCTAGAAATCCGGGCAAGGTTCAGGCAGCTCTGACAGAGAACAGGAGAGTATTGAGTGAGCTTGTTTTGGAGCCTTTGAGAGAGGAACAGTATTATGAGGTGGGAACTGCTTGACCTCCTCTCTAGTTATATGCTATTTGTAATTTTTATTCTGAAAAGAATGTGTGCTTTTTGTTCCCATCTTCTTTTCTGCAGATAAGAGAACCATTCTCCATAATGTCTATTGTGAAGAGCCCAATGGGTCTGATGGTTGGATTTATGGCGATTGTGATGTTTTTGATGCCCAAACTAGTGGGTAAGTATACACTGCAGTTACACTTTCTATTGAAATGCCCACGTCCAGTTTGCTTATTGCTTATGTTAATTTGCTGTGAATATATGTTGCATTTCAATGACACGTGTGCATTTATTTATGGATCGGTCTTTTTTAACTGTTTTGAGTTAAAAATAAACTTGTAGATTGTAATCAGTCATCATACATTATTTGCCATCTATTCAATTGCTCCTTGTAGTCCAATAAATTACGAAATTCCGGGTTGGTAAAAATTTAGGTGGATTTGCTCCTATAATGATGCATGCAAAGCTGTTACAGACGCTACTTTTTTTCAGCTAGTCTAATCAATTAGGAATGTACAGTACAAAGATAATTTCCAGCAAAGCGTAATTAAATTTGAATGTCTGGTGTCAATATGTGGGTTCAATTTAGCAACTATTAGTTTTAAATCTCAGTGCCTCTTTTAAGTTTTCAATTTATGGACAGTTGTATAAAACTATAAATTCCCTTAAATTCCCTTATCGATTAACACACTGTATACTTATATTTCAGATCATCCCAAAACTTCCTGTTGTAGTTTGTTTCCACACACGTTTACTTTTGACACTAAATTGTAAAAAAGTTTTAGTTACTACTCTTCACACTGGGAATACTAACATTTGGTATAGGCTGTGAAGGACGTTGACCAAACTGCAAATTCATTCTTTGTTTTGTTACCTATCTAATCGTAGTGAGCAATGAGGATTCAAAGAGGATACAATTCACTCATATTGGCATTTTTCTTGTTTTATATGCTGCACAGATGCAGAAGAAATGAAGCGCGCACAGGAGGAAATGAGAAACCAAGGTACGCCCTCTCTTGCGAACTTTTTAGCAGGAGCACAGAGGACCAGTTAAACGTTGGACTTAAGAATGATGAAGGCATTGTTGTCATTTGCCACAAATTGAACAAAGAACTCGAAAGTGCCTTTTTTTGTATTTTTGGGAAAAGTTGTATCAGTATTGAAATTTTGCTATTGAACGACGCCATTTTTGTTATCTGATAATAGTTATGTTACATTCAGAAAACCATTATACTTTCTTTAACCTACCCATATCCGATGTATTTTATGTGTCTCGTACTTCTTCAATTCTAATAATGTGGGATTAAATTTTGTACGAGGATACCTATGCTAATGATAAAAGAACGTTAAGGGCTTCGAAGTGGTAAGAGGGTATTATCAGAGTGCCTTAAAAAGGATGGAGTGAGAAGATGATAAGGAGTTGATTTTCTTTTGCTATTAGATTTGTTTCGTTTTTGGATATATTTGTTATACAATATTACACATTGTAAAGTAGTCTTGATTTCTTTTTTAGTCATGTCTCGTACACACCTTGTTTGATGTTCATTAAAAAAGGTTTTCTTCTGGAAAAAATTGAATTTTGAAATACTGATTTTTTGGGAGAATGAGATTAAAACGTATGAAAAAATTTCGATTTACGTGTAAAATATTTTATGGTAAGAATATGTGATTGAAAATGAATTTTAGAAGAAAAAAATGGAGATAATATTGGTCAATTTTGGCACGTCCAAATGCACCACATGGTTGGTTTGGATTGCCTACATTTTCCTACCTGACGTGGGGAAATGCACTAACGTTGTTAATAGATAAGCTCAATCACTTTCAGTTCACTTTTGATTAATACTACAATTCATTTTCATATTAAATTATGAAAACAAATGAACGTGATCATGTTTAGTTAAATCAACAATTTAGTATGCTTTCATATCAAAAAAAAAAAAACAATTTAGTATGCTTTATACAAGTGGAAATTAATTAATTAATTGAATAGACTGACTAATACCCCACCGGTTAAGACTATTATTTGATCTAAATTACAAGAACAATGTTATATAGCATGTGACAGAATCAATTAACGGTGAAAATATATGATTCATTTAATTGAATTTGTAATTTAATGTCATTAGTGATGTTATCTGAACTGGCATTAGACACCGTAGCGCTAAGTATTATTAAATTATAACCATTTAAATAATCTATTATAAAAAATTATTAATTGAAAATTAACGTGATGATAAATAACTAATATTTGATGTCTAAGCCAAACTTCTTCTTCTAAAGATTCAATTCATTTTAAAACAGTTGAGCTCCCACAATTGGTTCTCCAGTAATTATGTCTTATTTATGGACAATTTCCATTTTCCCAAAGCAAAAATCATGAAATCTCATTAATTTACAAGTAATGATATTTTGCCGTACTTAGATTACAATTTCAGTCTATATGACGTTAATGTGACATTAAATAATAAGTATAATTAAATGAGTCATTTAATTCCTCATTTTATTTTACCTATCGTCTCATAACATAGAGACTGAGATTATAACCCACAGTGAGGCTATATAACATTATTCTTGATTTACAGTTAAATGATGAATTTGCAATAAGAAAAGAGAAAAAATCACTCATTTTGGAGATAATTTAATTCATGAAATCTGGACTTGATTTCATACATCAAGCAATGCTATTATGCTAATTAAAGCAACATAATAAATATTATGCACAACTTTTCCTTTACCAATATTATAAATACAACACACTCATTTACAAAATCCTATTCAAAATGGCCGCCCTAATCAACTTTTCCATTGGACTTTTGCTCTTTAGCTTCATCAGCAGCCAAGGTAAGATCCATTTTCCGATGAAATATACAATTATTCTAGTCCCGATTTCTGATCCTGAATAGCTAGCCTTCCTTCAATTGCTTCTGTCTATAAGTCGAGTGACGACTCTTGATTTTCTGTACTTTTTTTTTTGGGCAGCAATGGGGCAGCAGTGTGATTTGAACAATTTTGTGATTGGGACAGTGAGAAGTGGGAGAGAAATAGAGGGAAAAACAGAATGGAATGTGCAAGTTGTGAACACATGCAAGTGCCCACAAGCAAATATTGTGTTATCTTGCAAGGATTTTCAGACTGTTGAGCCTATCAGTCCATCAATCTTTAACAAGGTTGGTGATCTTTGTAACATAAATCAGGGCAATCCAGTTCAGCCTCAGGCTTCTGTCCGGTTCTCTTATGCTTGGGATCCACCGTTTCTTCTCAGGCCAGCTTCTGCTCAAGTTCAGTGTTAGGCATAATTCAATCCGAAAGTTGATTTCGGGGAATCTTGATTTCTGTTATTAAGAAAATATGAATACAGTTTTGATCTTTGCAAGAAAATTATTGAAATAATTTATGTGGTGAGTGAATCTTATCATGAAATTAAAGCAATTTAATTCTCAACCAAAACAGTTGGTTATGATATCTCCAAATTCAACGTAGAGAGAGAGAGAGAGAAAGCTACGAATGGAAACAACACGCTTTTGAATTTGCCGTATTGATGACTTAATGCAATGAATGCGACATCGATAGATACAAGAAAAGTCTCATTTGTTAATTAAGAAATCTATAATTTATTAACTCTCTCTTTGATAGAGATTAAAATCAGATTTTTAGTAAATTTTAATAAAAGTTAATGAAATATGTAGTTGAAAAATTGTTGAATCCATAAAATATGTAATTAAAATTTATTGTTGACTTTGATTTAAATTAAAACATGGGCTATTTTTGGACATTTTACCCCAACTTCAATTCAATTATTCCAATAGTAAATTACTTTTTATTTTTCAATATGTAATAAATACTATAAAATCCTTGTCATTTATGAATTTCGCATTATTAATTAACACAAAATTAATTAAAATTCATATTAATCTATATTCAATGAATTTTGATTTGATGAATCTTGATCTACCTGAATCTAATGTTATTATAGATAAATTTATTTATATTCATGTATATAATAATTTTAATGAGTGTTTAAATTCACGTATTAGCAATTAATTCTTATGTACCAAATATAGTATAAAAAAGTTACTCATTTGTATTATTTCATCATCACAAAAAATTTGAATCATATAAATTGAATTTTGAGATTACAATTTTCAACTCTTAAATTTCTATCATAAATTTTATTTTCTTTAATTTGTTTGAGACTCATCAAATCCTCACAACATATTGGTATCAAATATTACTTGTACAGTACTTATAAATTAAGTATTTCGGAATAACATATAATGTATGTTCAACTCTGATTAGTGCTATCAAATGTCAATATTATACTTAATTTGGTGTTTAAAGCTTCGACGTTTATACTTGTTTGAAAGAGATATATAATGAAAAATATTTGATGATAAGAATCATAATATAAATTTTTTTTTTTTTTCAATTTTTTGGTTAAACTAGAGCAATTTTTTGAAAAATTTTGATTTGATGAATCTTGATATACCTGAATCTAATGTTATTATAGATAAATTTATTTCTATTCATGTATATAATAATTTTAATGAGTGTTTAAATTCACGTATTAGCAATTAATTCTTATGTACCAAATATAGTATAAAAATGTTATTCATTTGCATTATTTCATCATCACAAAAAATTTGAATCATATAAATTGAATTTTGAGATTACAATTTTCAACTCTTAAATTTCTATCATAAATGTTATTTTCTTTAATTTGTTTGAGACTCATCAAATCCTCACAACATATTGATATCAAATATTACTTGTACAGTACTTATAAATTAAGTATTTCGGAATAACATATAATGCATGTTCAACTCTGATTAGTGCTATCAAATGCCAATATTATACTTAATTTGGTGTTTAATGCTTCGACGTTTATACTTGTTTGAAAGAGATATATAATGAAAAATATTTGATGATAAGAATCATAATATAAATTTTTTTTTTTTCAATTTTTTGATTAAACTAGAGCAATTTTTTGAAAACTCGCTTCTAGAATGACTAATATTTGTTTATATCTTCTAGGTACGAATGCTCAATTTTTTGGCCTATTTCTCGCATGTACCAATTGATGTTATTCCTTAAGGATTCGATAAATTATTATTAGCTCCCGTTTGGAGCACATTTTCAGTTCATTTGAAGAAAAAATATGATCGTTAACTGTCAAATTTAGATCCCACTTGAGAGGTGAAGGTCAAAACAAGTGGCTGCTTTTTCATTTTCACGGCCATATTTTTCCTTTTTTTTTTTTTTGGATTAAAAATGTGCCCCAAATAGGGGCTTATTTGTGAATTTTAAATGCTTAAACTATCTCCAAAGGCCAAAAGCTCCTTTGTGTACTAGCATAGAAATATCTCTATGATCCATAACCAACAACTGATAATCTATAATCTCAATCATTCAAATAGTGAGTATCAGTATATTTACACAATAAATATGTTTAAAACGTGTACAATTTCAAAACCTTATATTTGAATTATAAGTAATGCTATTTGTACATCATTGTAAATATAATTGTGTAGAAATAAATGACATGAAAGAGAGAGAAAAAAGAGACGGAAAGAAAAAAAACTCAATTATTATAATCTCTCTATTCCATGTCACCTATTTGTGCACACATACATTGGATCAGTCATTATGTCCAAAGATTAACCCACGAGTTATTGATATGAAAATGTTTCTTGACGAGCTTGATGCAGAGGCAAAAGATACAAGCTTTGATAAATAATGGATGAAGGCAAACATTTGTACACTGAATAAAACCAGACAACTAAAAACCCACACATAGGCTCCACCTATAGCGTTTGCACAAGAAGGCATCAATGAAGCTTAAAAGGACAATATTCCGGATAAATAGAAGTTAAGATGAATAGAATCATCAAAAGTATTTTGCAGATTTTCTCAGTTTGGGTTACACACACAATTCTCCTTTTCCTAGGTTTCTTACCATGCCGATCATATAATCCTTGTCGAAAACAAGCAGAATAAGACTAAGCGAACTCATTTCCTCTTTTTAGCTGGTAGCCGGAGAATCTCCTCATCCTCATCCTCTTCTTCCTCATCTACATCCTCGTCATTCTCATCATCATCGTCCTCGTCATCGTCAACATTTGCCTCGGGCTCTTCTTTTTCATCGTCCTCTTCCTCTCCTACATCAGCATCTTGATCTTCACCTTCACCTTCATCTCCATCTCCATCATCATCATCATCATCATCATCATCCTCAGTTCATCACCATCTTTGTTCTCTAGTTCAGAGTGCTTCTCCTCATCACTCTTTATCTAAACCCTGCAAAATCTCATTGCTCTTTAGTGCTTGTAACCTTGTAAAGGAAAGGGGTGAGTAGAGCAGGGAGGAAAACTAACGCTTGTAATGCAGTTGGTTCTCTAGGGAACATTTTACTTGAAATCAGCAGAGCTCGTCTGCAAAAAGCAATAAACTAGCCAACTATAAACTATCTTGCATCATCAATGAGCAAAAAGAGGTCAATGCATCAACTAAATATTGATGATTAAATATGAATGAGCAGACCAAATGTTTACTATTATTGGATAAGATGCATAAGCTGAAGTCTACGTTGACCATTTTGCTCTGTAAAAATGACAAGTTAAGCAAAAGTGCTTGTAATCACCTGCCACATTGAATTTCGATGTGTCAATACAATGTATTTAAATTTTAAAAAGCAACACTTTTTTCTTCATTAAAGAAGTTAACCAGCAAAACCAAGGGCCAGGGAACATTTGGAATAAGATTTAACGAGCCATTAANAATCAGCAGAGCTCGTCTGCAAAAAGCAATAAACTAGCCAACTATAAACTATCTTGCATCATCAATGAGCAAAAAGAGGTCAATGCATCAACTAAATATTGATGATTAAATATGAATGAGCAGACCAAATGTTTACTATTATTGGATAAGATGCATAAGCTGAAGTCTACGTTGACCATTTTGCTCTGTAAAAATGACAAGTTAAGCAAAAGTGCTTGTAATCACCTGCCACATGGAATTTCGATGTGTCAATACAATGTATTTAAATTTTTAAAAAGCAACACTTTTTTCTTCAACAAATAAGTTAACCAGCAAAACCAAGGGCCAGGGAACATTTGGAATAAGATTTAACGAGCCATTAACACCATGAAGCAAACTTTCGAAGTGTTCCAACATATGTGAGCTACTTGAGTTGCTTCCAGTATCGCTAGTGCTGATGCTTCCTCCTGAAAATGAATTAGTCGTCATTAAAATCACAAGTTCAATGCACTAAATACAACCATTTAGAATAGGTATTTTGCAAAGAAGAATGTATTGAACAATTTAACCCTACGCCACATTCTAAATATGAGAACACAAAAGGTGATGTCTCACCAAACATTTTGCCTGTTTGGCTCCCATTATAATATATTTTTCTCTCTTCTTTTTAACCACACATTCTACAATAAAATAATAATACACATAAACAAAAATTTTTCCTTCTTTTTCATCGGCATATTCTCCAAAAAAATACTATTCCAAAAATTATAACATCAAATAATGTGGACCAAATGAGAGCATCATAAAGTCCAATTCGTTCCGATGTGATTTTTTTTTTGTTAAAGGAAGGTGGTACCTCCGAGATTTTATTAATTTATCCTCACTTGTGGCGGAAGAATATCGTTCCGATGTGATAGAGGTGCACCATAAAGCCATCAGCCCACAAAAAAGATTAACAGGTGTGCAACAACAAATCTAAATGGTCTATGCATTTTGCGAGCTCTCTCCAAAAAACAAATATTGTACTACGTATAAACATGAACAAATGATAAATGCTCCAAGTTAAATGCTGTTAGTCTCCTACCAAAAGAATGTAAAAACTGGAAGAATGGCAAAAAACTATTAATGCAAAAGAATCACGTAAATAAAGTTCCAAGACAAGTCTTCAGATAGAAGATGTTGATGAGAAAATGCGGCACAAAACTAAACTGATATCATGTCAAAAAACAGCTACAACTGTTCTCATACATATTATGCATCTCCGGGAAGCAGGTTTAAATTTTTGACACGATGACCTTGCAGCCATTAGAAAATTTTATTCATAATCTATAAATGAGGCAATGAGCAGCAAAACTAAAACGCAATAAAGCTTTAAATTATGAAGTCGTAATCCTTCAACAAGTTCATTGCGACCATCTGCCTACACTATTTATGCCTTGAATTTCATCTATGTTCTGAATAATTTCCTAGAGAATTGTTTAGACAGAACTCAAATCCGATATTCATCAATAGAAATTCCTTAACATTGAAGAATCAT